TTACTGTGCCGCCTCGGGTGAGCACCAGGGAGGCTGGCCCAGCGCCCGCTGGAACACAGAGAGACGAAGGGTCAGTGTGGCTCCGAGAGGAGCTGGACACACCCTGAGGGAACCTCCCCGGGGCGCTGTCCCTTTTTATAAGCTGACTGAGGACAGTTTAGAATCAAGTACCCAGCAGCTTGAGCACTTCAGGGGACTGTGGTGCCCAGCACTTGTGTATCAGATGGGCACGTGGCCGGCTGTGGGAAACAGAAAACCCGTTTTGTCGTGGCTTAAACGAAGAGGGGTTTATTTTTCTCACATAACAGGAAGTCGGAAGGTAGATGGCTCCCCGGCAACAGGTTCAGCATCTTGGAGATGCCCCAGCCTCGTGGGCATAAGGGGCTGCTGCAGCTCCAGACATTACAGCTATGTTCAGGTGGGAAAGACAAGAAAGTGGTGGAGGGGAGATGAGCCTCTAGCAGACTCATCTCTGCCATCGGCAGAGCTGTGGTTACTTCCGGTTGCCCGTAGTAATGGCGCACATTGCCTCCGTGAAGAAAATTGTTGTTCTGTTACAGGGGGGCGGGGAGGATGCGCTGGGCAGTTAGCAGTCTGTCTGCAGAGACAGCCTTCCCGTCGGCTAAGGACATTTGAACAATGGACCCCGCAGGCTGACCTCCTTAGTAATGGTATTTAACCCTGATTCCCCCCCTCCCCAAATCTGTGGTTTTCTCAGAATCTTGGTCCAGCAAACATTAGTGCCCTTTAATGTCACACTCACGCTTTTATTCACTGAACAGCATTTGCTAGGCACATGCCAGCAGTGGTGGGGGGTAGGGCCGGGAAGGTCAGCTGAGTCAGGGGAGGGGCAGTGCTGGCCGGTCCATGGGAGGTCTGAGTCCCAGCTCCACTCCAGCCTCTGGTTCTGGGGTCCTCAGACCTGGCTTGCCTGAGCTGAAAGTAGGGGTTAGAATCCTGGCCGTCAAGGTCACCGAAGGTGCAGCCAGCCAAAGACTGTCCTGAGGATTCCAACCACGTGACTCCCAGCTGGTCTGCACCGCGGACCCCACAGGAAGCTTTGGAAGAGGACAGGACTGCGGGCCCTCCGCAGCCGGGGGTGTGGCGACACCGTCCGCGCTCTGAGCGTGAAGTCCGCCCAGAGACCAGAGGCCGCGGGTGTAGATTCTTGTCCCCCTTATCCTCCGCTGACGTGGGACCCACTCCCCAGGTTCCTAGGTGAGGTGTGCGTGCCACCTGCCAGTCTTAGGTCACATGGTCGAAATCCACACCAGCCAGCATTTATTTGTTTGTCCCAGTGAATTGTAAGAATGAAGACATCGGTCCCTGATTCAATTAGACTAATGAGGAGTGTTAATTGGGTGTTTGCCTTTCAGCAGCCTGAGTGGCTGTGGCCAGATTGCTCCTTCTCCGCCTCATTAGCTGCGAGCTCTTGGGGGCTGCCCCACTACGGAGCGGAGGTGCCACGTGGGACCAGCTCTTCCACCGTAACGTGTGCCCCCGGGGCCGGGGCAGGGCCCCTCTGCAACACCCGTCCCAGCTCCTGAGGCTGAAAGGCTGCAGGTTCCACAGGTCCCCGCCGTCACGTGGTTCCCGGGGACTGAGAGCCCCTCTTCCCACCCTGAGGACAGGCAGGAAGGACGCCCGCCTGCGGAGGCCACACTGGGCCGGCCGACCCAGGATCAGTGACCTTCAGTTCCCCCTGGGATTCCAGCTTAGGCCTGAGGGCCAGGCCAGGGGGAGGTCAGGAGGAGGTGACGCCTGCAGGAAGGGTGTTTAAGCAGAGGGAACAGAATATGCTGAGGGTCCCATTCCCAGGCTGCAGGGTCAGATCTGGGCACATCCTTTTTACTTTTAAAATCCTCACCAGGGGATTGTCCCCCCCACCCCACCCCCCATTGCTCATTTGTTTTGAGAGGATGAGGGGGAGGGGTGAGAGAGAGAGAGAGAGAGAGAGAGAGAGAGAGAGAGAGAGAAAGAGAGAGATCGCTTGCCTCCTGCACGAGCTCTGACAGGGACGGGGACCCAGCCTGTACCCGAGGTACGTGGCCTTGACTGGAACCGAACCCGGGACCCTTCAGTTCGTGGCATGACGCTCTATCTACTGAGCCAAACCAGCCAAGGCAACCAACTGCCTGTTTTCATCTCATCCTGAAGTCAAACTTTCAAGCCTATTCCAATTCATTAGCTCTACTCTGAGCTTGGAATTCTAATTTAATTTTGAAGCATCCCATCTAATCCCATGCCTGTCTCTGAGCTGCTGTGCGTGTCACCCTCTTCCTGCCCGTCCCTGGGCGGTGAGAGCCACCGTCATCGCCGATGAGGGTCAGAGGCCAGGACCCGGCCTCGTCACACCCCAGCTGCCTGGGACTGGACCGCAGGCTCCCAGCCCGGCAGCACCCGGGGCCAAGGCAACCAACTGCCCGTTTTCATCTCGTCCTGAAGTCAGACTTTCAAGCCTATTCCAATTCATTAGCTCTACTCTGAGCTTGGAATTCTAATTTAATTTTGAAGCATCCCATCTAATCCCATGCCTGTCTCTGAGCTGCTGTGCGTGTCACCCTCTTCCTGCCCGTCCCTGGGCGGTGAGAGCCACCGTCATCGCCGATGAGGGTCAGAGGCCAGGACCCGGCCTCGTCACACCCCAGCTGCCTGGGACTGGACCGCAGGCTCCCAGCCCGGCAGCACCCGGTCTACTGCCCATCTCTTCCATGGAAATGAATGAGGATGAGGGAGGGAGACGTGCCAATGAGCGGAACCACCAGCCCACCGCGTGTCTGCCTGCGGGCGTGAGTCTCAGCGCCCAGGGTTCCAGAAGGCTCTGCTGGGACCCCCCACAGAGCCAGGGCACCCCGCTGTTTTTGTGCAGCACACCTTGGCCCCCTGGCGTTTTCCAGGTTCAAGGTCACTGAAAAAGGAAGCTGCGTGGGCTGTTATGCCATGAGTTTTACTGCCTGGAAACGCCGCCTGGAGGTTTCGTGAACTGTGCTCATTAAGGCATTAAGATTCACGTGACATTGCTGTCCCCTAATGCTGCGGGGCAGTGGCTTCCTGGGGTCCCACTACTCTCTTAGTGCCGCCCAGAGGCCAGGCTGGGTTTTGCCAACTCAGTGCAGACGGAGGCTGAGAGGAGGCTCAGAGGCAGAGCCGAAGCTGGAGTAGGATTCAGGTCTCCCCCTTGTCCCATATGGGCCCCAACAGACCCACGGCCTCGCAGAGCCGAAGGGGGTCCGATATCCCAGCGAACAGCAACCTGGCACTCAGAGCCAACCCAGCTCTGTGGCCTGGCCTCCGGCCCGTGGTTTTACCCGGCGTTCTGTGTCCCGGGCCCTGATCTCAAGGAGGAAGCGGCCCTGGTGGAAGAGGCGGCGGAGCATGTGGGTTGAGTCCTGGGTCTCCCCACCCCCGAGTGCACAAATTTTTGTGCACCAGGCCCCTCCCCCCCCTCCCCCTCTCTCCCGCCCCCCCCCCCCACCTCTTCCTTTGTCTGCCAAGCCAGGCGGTGTCCCCAGAGTGCAGGAGCTCCTGGAAGCGCGGAAAGGGGCTCACTTGGAAAGAGGAAAGAGGGGCTTTCAGATGCAGTTAGTTAAGGTGGGGTCACCCTGGTTTAGGGGGGCCGAAGTCCATCCCGTATAGCTGGTGCCCGGCTGAGAAGGTGGCATCCGGACACAGACACACAGGGGAGAGGCCAGTGCGGCTGGCGGCAGAGAGTGACGGGCTGCAGCTGCGAGCCCAGGACCCTCCCTGAGCCTTGGGAGGGTGCAGCCCTGCCACCCCTGGATGTGGGGCTTCTGGTTCCAGACCCCGAGACAGTGTGTTGGTTCCCACGCCAGCCGGTGGTATGCGTTGTGGCCGCTGCGGGCTCGCACACGAGGCCTTGCGGTTGTCGGGAGGATGGGACGGTGCACAGGCCGTGTTGGCCTGGCTGATGCTCCGTGCCCCTCACTCCCGGCTGCGTGTCCCGGGCTCTGCCTCCTGTGTTATATGCAAGGCGCCTCTTCTTTGCCATTTGCAGCTTGCCATCCTCTCATGCCCCGCCCCCCACCCCTGCATTAATTCCTTCAGCGAGGGTCCTCTGACCTGATGTCCAACCGCCCTG